TAGCAGCACAGTCGACCTGATAGTTGCTGCAGCTGCTGTGCCGGTGTCGTTGTAGCTGCTGCTTATCGCCGGTGTTGATTGCTGCTACTTTTTGCCGTTGTTGTTGCTGCAGCTTGTTTCCGTTGTTATTGTTGCCAGTAATGAACAGACACAAAGTAGACAAGAGATTTTCTCTTGTCAACTCCACACGTTATGAAGCTGCTCTTATTTAAATGTATGCTGACAACAATGAGATGTCTACGTACCCAGTTGTATGAAGGATGCAGGTAACCACGACCAATCGCTGGGGAGCGATTTTCGCTATGTGCACGCTTGACGTTAACGCTGATGTGTGAACTGATTTCTGTTGATGTAGCTGATGAGGTTTATTAAGCAGGGATCACACGATTTGTACATTTGTACACAAAATGCCAAATTTAGATTTGTCCACATTTGCGCATTTGGATAGCAATGTACAAATGATTTGTTTTGCGATCAGACGATTTGGCTGCCAAAGATCCAAATGATTTGGCACACATTTACGCACAGCAGTAAATTGACAAATATTGTCCAAATTCATTCACACGATTTAACCATTTGGTCATAAATACTTAAACAGTTGATCCGGTGTCAACCATACTTTTGCATTTATGATTTCGTGAGATTTGAAGTGAAATAAACAAAAATAATATATACGCACAGGTACTCAGAATTTTGAATACACCCTCAAAATATGGGCTGAAGGTAAAAAACGCGTTTTCATAGGTTGAAGCATATACTTGCTCGTAACTTTATTTCTGTTTGCCCGATGAAAAATACTTACATCTGCCATTTAAGAGAAAACATTTCGTTGTTTACAACCATTTATAAATGGTTAATTTATCTTGAGAATGGGCACCCTATGTATGTATACTAGTTAACAAAATGAAAAAATGTTAAAAATTTAAATTTTGCATATCGATGGCTGAGTGGAAGATCGACCTATCTCGAAGCCAGTTCAAAAACGCCCTGTCTCTGAAAATTTTTCAAGAACGCCCTACTTCAAAGTTTGATTGAAAAACGCCCTATTTCAGAATTTGGTTGAATAACGCCCTATCTCAGAATTCATTTCAAAAACGCCCTATCTCAAACGAAAATACATTCAAAATAAGCTGATATAGGGCGTTTTTGAATCGGCAGCTGAGATAGGCCGTTTTTCAATGAAATTCTGAAGTAGGGCGTTCTTGAAAAGTTTTCTGAGATAGCGCGTTGTTAAAAAATTTTCTGAGATAGGGCGTTTTCGAACTGGTTGCCGAGATGGATCGATCTTCCACTCAGCCATCGATATACTCTGTAAGATTCCTTTCAGTGATCGGACTTCTACCACATTGTTGTAGATCTGCCACCTACCACACAAGGTCTGAAATCTACCACATATTCGCGTTTTTGAGTAGTTTTATTTTTGCTCAACATAATTTTCTTAATTTTAAGAGCAAAAATTGTCCAACACTAAACACTAACAACAGGCAGAATGGGAAGATAAAATGAACTGTAAAATAGTAAATTTTCTCAATATTCAATTTTTCGACATCAAACATGGTTTTATTGTGTTAAATTGCAAAACATATGATTTATAAAAAGAATTAATAGCGAAAATGATAAAAACCGGCTATTTTGTGAAAGCATTAGCAAATTTCAGTGCATCTGAAATTTCTAAAGCGTTGTTTACTTTTACTTTAGAATTGTCAAAATCGGCAAATCCCAAGCAGCATTTTTGGAACGAGCCACATTTGTTCGCTACATCGTGATGTGATAAAAAGAAAAGCTGGCAGCGCTCTGCAAGGTTGCAGAAATCTTTCAAAATATGTTCGAAACTGTAAAGGAAAAAAATTGCCAAAACCTACGCAATTTTTATCAACTTCAATCTTGCACTTTATTATACTAAAATTAATTTTGATTTAGATTCTAATTAAAATGTTTGCAATTTAGGAGAAACCTTGCAGATTTTTTTTTATTTTCGGAAAAATTTTGATCCAAAACCTGAGATCTACCAGATTTTTTGAAATCTACCACATTTTTTTGAAATCTACCACATTTTTTTTAGATTCTACCACACAAATTTTTTTTAAGTCCGATCACTGATTCCTTTGCCATTTCTTAAGATAAATTATCAATTTAAACATTGTTGTAAGCAGCGAAATGTCTTATCTTGAATCACATACATAAATACGTATTTTTCACCGGGTAAACAGAAAAAAAGTTACGAGCAAGTATACCTGTGCGTCACCCTTTGAAAAACGCGGTTTTTGACCTTAAGCCCAGATTTTGAGGGTGTATTTAAAATTCTGAGTATGCAGATTTTACTGCTTGAATAGACCTACAACAAGTGTGAGCCTCGAAAAAACTATATACATTTTTTTTTGTCACACAGTGTAAATTAGATCGTCTTTAATAATCTGTATATCGCCGTTTAAAGTACAAAACCGCGTATCAACAAAATGCAAAGCTGCCTATGTGAGGTTGCATAAATTATTGTCTAGATAGTAAAAACACTCATATTTCAAAATGGTTCTCTTTTTTATAAAGCAATCGCATTTCTGGATAGTATATTTCAGGACGAATGGATAAGGATTAAGCCAAGAGTTTGTGTGAGCAAATTCAATTTTTGACAGCCAATGTCAGTTACGCGATTTTGCACAATGACGATACGCGGTTTTGTACTTTATACGACGATATGCATGTATGTATATATGTATAGCCAGCAAAAACTGCGGAAAGAGATCCGAAAACTGAAAGAAAGGTGAATAGTAAAGTGCCACGAAGGGTTGTGAAGCGAATACTTTTCCGGTTGGTTTTCTGAATTTTTTCATTCTGAACTTCAAATATGCTTTTTCATAGTTAATTATACTCAGAAATTAATTATACTTTTAATATGTTCGTCTGTCGGCATAAGAACCTGGGACCTCATGAAGGTTACAAATAGTCGCACGCTTCTCTGCAAAATAACGTGATATTTTTCGGTAGTTTTCGGATACGAATATCATATTAAATAATAAAATTTTACCAAAATTGGAAAATACAAAGGTTCACAAGCACGAAATGGCAATACCGCTCAACAATATTTGTATATTTGTCACTGGCATTTGTCATCAAGTGGCAAATCAGATATTTGGTCATTTGCGTAATTTTTATTTGGCTTATGTAGCAGCATTGCGTTCACACGATTTGGCCACCAGGGTTGTTTTTCATTTGCCACAAGAAGGCAAATATTTGGCTTTTCTGATAAATGACAAATGTAATTTAGCGTTCATATGATTTGTCTATGAATTTGACAAATTTTTAGCCAAATGTACAAATCGTGTGATCCCAGCTTTAGAGCTGCCTTTGCTACCACTGACGAAACTGCTGCGACGCGTTTTAGTTGAAACCGCTGCTGCGGCTGTTGCTGCTATTGTGATTGTTGTTATAGTTGGCGCCGTACTCGCAATTGTAGTGCTGTCGTCTTGCCTCTCCGTCAATGCAGAGAGCGATTAACNCTGCCTTTGCTACCACTGACGAAACTGCTGCGACGCGTTTTAGTTGAAACCGCTGCTGCGGCTGTTGCTGCTATTGTGATTGTTGTTATAGTTGGCGCCGTACTCGCAATTGTAGTGCTGTCGTCTTGCCTCTCCGTCAATGCAGAGAGCGATTAACTATTAACGGATTCGGCTATAGACTACGCTTAACCGTTCTTCCGATCACACTAAACATGTCCTCGCAACTCTTGTGTTCTTTCGTGTTATAGCCAATTTAATTCTGTTACAAGCACTCTTAAAACTTTTTTATTTTGCTCCCAACTACAGCTATTGCCTCTCCTGGCAGGATCGCCAAATGTAGTAGATGCTCAATATTAAAATTAATATAGTAAAATTTAAGTTTTCTATTTTTTAAGTTTAAAGATTGAAAGTTTGAACAACAATGAAAATTTTCTGCTTGATTGACGAACCACATTTTTTTTTAAGTTTTTAAGTTATTTGTTGTTAAAGTTTGTAAATCAAACAAACCTCTCGGCGCTATTTCACACAATAAACACGATATTTACCTAACACTTTGGCAAAATAGTTGCAACAAAACGCCGCATATTAAAATATATATATATATATTTTACATTTATTATCTTTTTTTAGTAAAATAAGTATGTTTTTCAAATTATCACGCACTTATATATGTACGCACATTGTGAATAAAGATATGTTGTTTCAACCATAAGAGTGTACTCGTGCGCCCAACTATCTAAAGTTTTAGAAAACTTTTACTACAAATACTTAGCTACAAATTTCTGCTGGAAAAAATTTTGCCTGCTAAAACTTGCAAGTAAGAAAATCAGCTGATAAAATAAACATGTTTGTAAATAAACCAAAGAAAATATAGCCTTTTTGAATTATTTATTGCAAATTTTATTATTAGTGCTAGTATACAACGAAAAAGTGAGTAAATTTAATAGGTACAACATTCCCAATAAACGCCAAAAAAATATTTCTCCAACCTTGGAGAAATTCATAGTTCTCAAGTTGATATCCAAGATCATTCTCTAACTGCAAAAAGTGATAGAGAAACAAATTTTTAATTACTGCGCTGTATGCTGTGAAGTGAATTATTGCAATACGATATTATTTAACTACATAATACAAAAGGAGTAATAAAATGAAAAATTAATATTTAAATTCATCTATGTATGTCGTTTTAATCAAAAATGTATAAGGCATTTTACTTTTTCAATTCCAGTACTTCAATGATATGTTTGAGACCAATAGGAGAACATTGGAGTTAAAGTTGAGAACCAGCATTTTCTCAACTTGAGAAACAGTCCTTTTTTCATACAAAGAAAAATGCCCTTTTTGTTAAGAACGCTGTGATCCTCCACTTGAGGTACTGTTGAGAAACAACGTTGGAGATTTGAGAAACACCTTAGTTCTCAAGTTGAGCTCAAACCTAAATGTTTGTTCGGGTTTGTTGAGTTTATTTTTCGTTAATTTGCTAATAATCTCCAGTTTGTTTACTTTAGTGTGTGCTGACTATGGTTGCCGTATGACATTTTTCGTTTGTACCATAATTTTCGTTTAAATATACCAAACTAGACTTAAATGCAGCATGCTGATATGTTTTTTTGCTGAAGTTTTCGATTTTGGTAGGTTGATTGTTGATACTCTTGTTTTTGAATGCGTCACCATGTGATATCACAAATAATTATGAGAAAAATAACTTATTCATTCCGATATAATTAATTTGTATTTCACAAAGGTTTTTCTTATCCAAAACTATTGAATTGTTTAAAATGCTAAATCTGGGAAAAATGTACCGGGCAGAAAACAAATTGCCAAATGAATCACCAGTGGCAACTGTGCATTAATCAGCTGTTTCGAAGGTTGCAAGTTTTTGCAAGTTTTGCGTTCTCGTACTTCTGTTTATATTTCGTCTCTTTGAGAGCGAATGCTGCTAATTCTCAGAACTTTTGCTGCTGGAGAATTTTGTCCTCTCAATACGAGTACACACCTCATGATACAAACATAACAAGGTAAAACCATTGAGAGGCAGTCTGACGTTTGCCAGCAATATAATTTAAAAATTCAAAACTCAAACTCACACACACATTCCCATTTTCAATCTCAAACAAAAACAATTGTGAACAATTTCATTTTTTTATTATCAATTTTATATGATTTTAAAATGCTGGAAAACGTCAGAAAAAAAATCATGGCCAACGAATTGAGAGCTTGTAATATTTTTACGATGGTTTCAACCATGATACAAATATTTAAAAATAGTTTCACTTCTTCTTCTTATCCGCCATTGCTCCCATTTGATGTAAACTGTGATTTTGACGCTTTCTTTTAAATTGAGGCTACCATATTCATTGAAGAAACTAAAAAGTGTTTTTTTTTTACTTCAGAAAGAATTATTTCATGGAATATATTTTGGGCATCATTTTATAGCGACCTTTTAGTGGTTTATTTCTAAAATTAATTATAAAACGGATGGCAAGTGAAATACTCCTATTACATTTCTTATTGCACATAGATAATCTGTTTGTTTATGCAATCATTTTCATCATTATTTAGTACGATTAGCTGCATATTTCGGTATGGCCACGTGCATGGTAATTTCACCAAGGTGTTGTGTGATTGTTCCAACCACTTTTCGGCGGAAAATTTTCAGCCTCGGGCCGGATGTGCCCAATCTAAGCGAAACGCTGCACCAGCAGCAGTAGAGCGAGTAGTTTATCTGTCTATAAACTATAACAACGCAAATTTTTTTGCGGTAAGGTATTTTAAATTAATACACACTTATTAACAGCTATGCTAATACGATGAATTAAGTAAATTTACCTTGCGTGTTGTTATTTTTAAATGCATAAAAAATTCCTTTAAAAATAATAAAATTTCCAAAACAATAATTTGTTGAGGTGGCAGTGATACTCTAGCAATTTACGAAAAGTATAAACGTCATAAGCACAGTTTATGTCAAAAAATTTCCAAGTGAAACTACCTTTTTTTTGTATCATGGTTTCAACCACGGCGGAATTATACCAGGTGAAGTAATTAGAGCGGGAAGAAAGATTTTGACACTGCCTTTTATGAAAATTTGCCTTTAAAATTTGACTATAAGGCAGCCGAATGTCACACAATAAAGCGAGAAAGCTGTTTTATTACTTCACCTGTTTATTGCGCCATGGTTTCACACTGACATTAGAAGAGTGCAGCCACATCTAAGAAAATAACAATAAAAGAGAAAAGTTTTTATCTTACTCGTATTTGTGTTCAGCGTTAAATTAGTAGTAAAGGACATAGTAACCAGCAATAATAATAGACATAACTGGTTTACCACACAGAAAGGGAATTCTAGTTACCTCATCCTTTCCCAAGGCTTCATCACTGGGGCGGTAGCCCCAGTTGGTGCACACCAAAAGGAGAACTCTATTTGGTAAGGGTTATAGTCGTAAAGCGCGGCCGAAAGCCGCCTACGCTGAAAGGAACTCTACGCAAAAATACTGTGGACGCAAGTAAAAATTGTGATTTTTGGCCATTTTTCTAAGGGGTCCCTAGGGACCCATAGGGGGCCTAGGTCGTCGGGGGTTGCATTATTGTCAATGGCTGTTCATGCCCTCTCCAAAAAGGTGGGTTGGAGGTGCCACGCCCACGGCGAAGGGGGACCCACCGCCCCTTTAATGAATGCCCGTATTGGAAATTTTCCCCTTTTTTTATAGTAAGATAAAACCTGTTCTCTTTTATTGTTATTTTCTTAGATGTGGCAGCACTCTTCTAATGTCAGTGTGAAACCATGGTTGAAACCACATTTCTCTTTTCACAATGTGCGTGTGCAGTATTTGACTCCATTGAAGAGGAGAACGAATCGTGGTCCAAGTACACCCCTTCTGACTTAAAAAAACCGAAAAACCAAAAATTAAAGATAACAAAAAAAAATCATCGCAGTCTAGTTGGGCGAAGCTAGCGCAAATTAAAGCAAAATGGGCTGAGGATAAAAATTAAGAACGGAGACCGAATGTTTGAAAGCAGAGCACGAACTGCGTATGGCTCATATGAAGGAGATGCACGACCTTAAAAAAAAATCTTGCAGAGAAACATAACTTGGAAATGAGCATCATTACACAAACTATAATGTAAGGGTGCTCATTTCTTACTCATTGTTTTCATAGGTACACTTGTGGTTAGCTGATTAAGTCAAGTAACATTTTCACTAGTTTTGGCTATTTTTCTTTTGTTTGTTTAATGCAAATATTTTTTTTTTTTTAAGTTTAGCACTTCACCTAACCAGCGGGGGTCGAGCCAAAAATGCAGGGTGTGGATGAAGCGTAACACAGCACGTGGGCGATCCCGTGCGCCTAGCCACTCCCACATCAAGACCGTAGTGCGCGATATCGCATCCTTCAAGAGATGACCCTGTTTCCACAGAACACTACGGATCTAGACCCGGAGGGAGTCAGGTCTTCCCCCTCCCCCTAATCCAGGGTGTCATGCGTCACCGTGCCCATTGGATGGTTTGCAGTCAGGGGGCTTTCCGACTGTCTAACGGCGCCTCCCGGAGACCTGTCCGCCTCCGGGAGCAACGGTGGGCTTGCTGCGGCAAGGGCCTCTGCCGTAGTCGACCGTTCTTTTCCCCTTCAACTTTTTACGGTCACCGAAAGGTCTCATCTTAGTAGGTGACCAAAGACACAGATGATGAATAATTTTAAAACAGCCTGCACCTTGCGCAATTTCCGCTTCAGCACAGTCGGGGGCAAATGACTCGCATCAGCGCCCCTGCTGCTCCAAAGCCTTAAAGAAGGTTGCTCCATCCATCAGGGCTCAACGGGACCGTAGAGCTGCGCCGAAAATCATCGACAAGCTCGGAACCATCCCCGAAAATGAGCTGACGGTGGAGCAAAAAACCAAATTAGAATGGGCAAAGGGATTCTCGCCGCTAGAAGCAAGCGCAAAACAGGAAATAGCTGCGGGACTCACACCACCAAAACCTCGAAAAGACACCGATCTTTGGATAACACCTCGAGTGAATCCAAGAGGCACAAAACCTCGAACCCACCTCCCCTCAGCCTGCATCCCAGCCTTCTCAGACCTACAGCGAACCATCCGAGCCTAATGAGATTCTGGAACTCATTCAGCTGGGCAACGAGGGGTTACCCACCAATGATTGGAGGATAACTCGAGTTGGCGAGGTCAAGGAGAAGCAGCGTTACGTCGCACTCGTGATTAACGATGCTTCCATCCCAGTCCTCGAAAGCTGTGGTGGTGTAATAAGCTACGGCTTTTACTCCATCACACTGAAGCTCCACCAGCAGAAGGAGCAGAAGGAGTCTCAAAAGACTGAGGATTGTGGCGCCTCGAGCTGCCACAAAGCGTCGCACAACGCCACGAGCGAACCGACGCGAGAAATTTCTAATCCAGGCAACGCACCGAGCGGACCAGTTGATATGGAGGAAGTGTGCCCTGCGGATGTATCCGACACCGCGACGGAGTCTGAGAGCGATACGTCCTCAGTCTCCGCTGCCTGAAGCGATGGACGAGGACCCCGGACTCCGATAATGGTGCAAGGGCTACAGATTAACTTGCATCACTCTAAGGCGGCTTCGCCTGCCCTACTTCTACACCTCGGCAACAAAGCAGAGGATTTCGTTCTTATCCAAGAACTTTGGATCGTCAAGAACAAGGTTAGCGGTTTAAACTCTGGCACCTAACAGGTGGTATCAGCACCAGTCACAGGTAGGATTCGAGCTTGTATTCTAATTAAAAAGAATCTTTCTTATTTTCTACTCTCTCAGTACATTGACGAGGACACCGTTTGTGTCAGCGTGCTGCTGGGGACGAAATCCATCTGGATAGTGTCCTCATATATGGCGCACGACTGTCAAGACTTTCCGCCAAATCGACTACAGGGCGTAGTGAAGGAGGCCAGCTACAGGAAGCTTCCCATGGTCATCGGGTCTGACGCAAACTCTCACCATGTTTTATGGGGCTCCAGCGACATCAAATCACGAGGTGAGTCACTACTCGACTTTGTTCTCAGTTCTGATCTATGTATAAGCAATTCTTCAAATAAACCCACGTTTATAACTTCCAACAAAAAGGAAGTTCTGGACATTACGCTAGTCTCAAACTACTTATCTGAGTACGTCAGGGACTGGCATGTCTTAAGTGAACATTCATTCTCCGATCATCAATATATTTCCTTTAGGCTCTCCCGAAGAGCCCCACCTCTTTCGTGTTTCAGGAATATGAGGCGGACCGATTGGACCAAATATAAAATGGAGCTCTCGGTAGCCCTAGACGCTGCATACCGTTAATAACTGAGGAAGCGCATCCTCCAGCGGCAAAGTCTGTTTCTCTCGGTGAGCTGGACTCATCGTCAAAGATTTATGAAGCCGTAGACCTTGTCACCAAAGCCTGCAACATAGCACTTAAAGCTTCCTGCACAGCAACACGTCCAAGGGGCAAAAGGAGACCCCAATGGTGGAATCTGGAGATCTCCTCCCTGAGGCGAACCAGCAGGAAGCTTTTTAATCTAGCGAAACAAACCGGATCTCGGCAATCCTACAAGGATGCCCTGATAGCCTTTAAGAGTTCAGTACGAACAGCTCAAAGGGAATCTTGGAAAACTTTCTGCGGCAACATTGAGGCAACCGACTACAGAAGGTCCTATCAAAAACTCCAGTTTCCCCAAACTATATCCAAAAACCAGATGGTGAATGGACCCCCTCTTGCAGCGAAATGCTAGATGTTCTCATGGACACCCACTTCCCGGAGTGTACAACAGAACCAAAGGCAGACGCGACAAATCAGATGACTTATCTTCCACATCACTCAGTAGAGAGCATAGTGCAACAAGAAAAGGTTAAATGGGCGATCAAGACCTTCAAACCCTATAAATCTCCCGGGCCGGACGGCATATTCGGCAGGCAGTCGACCTTTTATGCCCACTGCTTTCTGTGATCTTTAAGGCCTGCCTTCGCCTTTGCCACATTCCTAGAGGATGGACAAAGGCTAGGGTAATCTTCATACCGAAAGGTGGAAGGGTTTCTCAGTGAAACCCGATGACTTCAGGCCAATAAGCCTAACGTCCTTTCTTCATAAAACTCTAGAAAGACTTCTTGACGCCCGCATCAGACAGCGCCTTACTTCTGAGGACGTGTCGGAGTGTCAACATGCTTATTCTAAGGGCAAATCCGTGGACACTGCGCTCCACGAAATTGTGTCCAAAATTGAAAAAGGACTCGTCTTTAAGGAATTTACCTTAGGCATCTTTCTTGACATAGAAGGCGCCTTTAACTATATTCTTCCAGAGGCCCTGGTGGGCTCACTTTCCCAAGTTGGGCTGGAGCGGCCTCTGGTGGAGCTTATAAGACTTCTTCTTGAAAGAAGAATTATCTCGTCAGAGTTGGGGGGCGCGTCAATAACCAGGCATGCAACGAGAGGTACTCCTCAAGGAGGAGTTCTCTCCCCCTACTCTGGAACCTTACAGTAAACTCAAATCTGATGAGACTGCAGAGTACCGGATGTCACGTCGTAGCGTATGCCGACGACATTGCACTCACAGTCACGGGAAAGCATCTCTAAACGCTAAGCGAACTTTTGCAAAGCGCTCTCTGTCTGGTGAACAGCTGGTCGAGGGAGTGTGGACTTAAAGTTAATCCCACCAAGACCGAAATGATACTTTTCACGAGGAAATATAAGATACCGTCTTTTCAGCCCCCCCTCCCTAAACGGGGTGGGACTTAGACTCTCCAACGAGGTTAAATACCTCGGCTTAATTCTCGACAGGAAGTTGGACTGGAGGCGGAACCTTTCGGAACGATCCAGGAAAGCCATTACCGCCCTTTACGCCTGTAAGGCAGCGGTAGGGAAACGATGGGGTCTGAAACCACACATAATACACTGGATGTATACGGCGGTTGTCCGACCCATCCTTTTCTATGGGATTACCGTATGGTGGCCGGCTCTAGAAAAATCTACTTACAGAGGCATATTGGACCGACTACAAAGGGCGGCAACCATGTTAATCACGGGTGCCCTGCCCTCTACTCCCAGTAGGGCTCTGCATACTGTTTTGAATCTTCTCCCCACCGATCTCTACGGTAGATATCAGGCCAGATGCAATACAACTGAACTGAATGCAGCTCATACATGGAGAGACCATAGATTCGGTCACTCAAAAATTCTGCAGCAACCTTACGTAAGCTGGATTACATTAGTCCACATCTCTGCTTCGAAAATAGGTTTTCTACCAGAATTCCAGACAGAAGAAACTGGGTAAATTGCTCGGACTTCGATCCAGGATCTACCGCTAAATTTACGGACGGGTAAAAGCTCGACAATAAAGTTGGAAGCGGAATCTACTCCAAAGAACTCTCGCTAAACTTAAGCAGGCGGCTCCCTGACCACTGGAGCGTTTTTCAGGCGGAATTAACAGCCATAAGGAAGGCCGCCCTTTGGCTTAAAAGTGGCACAAATTGTCCACAATCCGTCACTATCTACTCTGACAGCCAAGCAGCGATTAAATATTTGCAGTGCAGTAACACTTCCTCAAAGGTGGCTGCCAAATGCAGAAGTACCCTAAACGCGAAAGTCACCATTAACGTGGTATGGGTACCCGGGCATAGTGGAATACCGGGAAACTGCGCGGCAGATGAGCTGGCGAGGGGGGGAACTGAACTACGCTCAACAAACTCTGCGCTCGATGCAGGCGTTCCCCTGCCCTCGAGTAAGCACCAACTGAAATCTATTTTTATTAAATTGGCCAACGAACGTTGGGCGAAAGAGCCAACATGTTCTGTTAAAAAACAGATCTGGCCAATTATAAACGAAACACGATCTAAAACTCTCATACAAATCGACCGCCCCATTATTAGCACAGTTGTAGGTATAATTACAGGACACTGCTTAATGGGAGCGCATGCTAGCCGAATTGGTTATCCCGCAAACGATTTCTGTCGTGCCTGCAGGGACTGCCCCGCCCTGACAAGGTCAAGACGTGCTATTCTTAGTCAACATACTTTTCGGTGTTTATCCGATCTCGACTCTGTGGACGTCCGCGACCTTCAACGATACATTAAGGTCACACGATGGTTCTATCATTTGGGAAACTAGGGGAAAGGAACAAGAGCTCGTTCATAGTGGCATCACAATGGGTCAAAATGGCCTAAGTGTGTCTCTCTGCCGTTCCGTGCGGAGTGACAACCACCGTAACCTAACCTAACCTACCTAACCAGTGCCACATAAATCCACATTTCAAACTTCGTACAAAAATTATGAAAATTCAACAAAATTTAGCATTTTATACTTTTTATTTAGAGTTTTTAGAAAAATTTTGGGTATGCAGTTTTCTATCCCATTACATTTTAGTAGGTTAAAGTGCAAGTTTTAAGACGCTAGAAAATCGCGTTGATTTTTAAAAATTTTTTTGGCTGACGGTGTTGTGCATTTTCTTCTATATAAAATATGCTCGCCAATTTCGTTTGTATGGGAGAAAATGCACACCACTGTCAGCCAAAAAAAAATTTTTAATTCAACGCGATTTTCTAGCGTCTTAAAATTTTCACTTTAACCTACTACAATGTGATGGGATACAAAACTGGATACCCAAAATTTTTCTAGAAATTCTAAATAAGAAGTTTAAAATGCTAAATATTGTTGAGTTTTCATAATTTGTGTACGAAGTTTGAAATGTGGATTTACGTGGCGCTGGTTAGATAAAGTGCTATATTTTTATAAAAAAAAAAAATATTTACATTAAACAAACAAAAGAAAAATAGCCAAAACTAGTCAATATGTTACTTGACTTAATCAGCTGACCACAAGAGTACATATACATAGGGTTTTGGACACAAGTATTTGTACAGAGAATTTTTCGCAATGTATGCAAAGGCTTTTATTCTAATTTATTTCCGCATATTTTTTATAAAAATATAATTATACAACAAAAAACATAAAAATAAAATATCTAAACTTTCTGTAAAACCCAGGAAAAGTCAATAAATTTGCATAATAATTTGCAACTTTCTAATCAGATTTTTTGAAAAATTCATAGTTTTATAGCCCAATAAATTTAAAGATATAAAATTAAAGGTTGAAGTCGCTCAAAAACGACGAGATCAGTAATTTTTTTCCATACGAAGTATCTTCGACGATTTTTATTATGGAGAAAATATGCAACACCTTCAACAAACAAATTGCCAAAAATCAACGCGATTTTTTAGCTACTTCAAACTTCCATTTTATTTCTTTAAATTTGTTGGGCTATACAACTGCATACTCAGAATTTTTCTAAAAAATATGATTAGAAAGTTAGAGAAAGTTTAGAGATTTCATTTTTATGTTCTTTATAATAGTATGAACTATATTATTATAAATAATTAGCGGAAAGAAATTGGAATAAAAACCTTTGTATACATTGCGAAAAATTCTCTGCACAATTCTTTGCCCAGGGCTGATGTATTAATGTTTAAATATAATAGAACGGGACACGGGGTATATTTTCTTAATTTTTCCTAAGTTCCAAATATATCTGTGGCATTTTATTAAAACAAGTCATTTCGATATAGGCTCTTCTTCATTTTAATCAATATTTCATTGGCTTACCAATATTTCATTGTGGATTCAAAGTCAAGCCTTCTAAAGCAAGTTATGTATGTAAGTTGTTTTAAGAATAAAATACCATAGATTTGTGAACTGAATTGACTGGATTTCTTTGAGCAAATTTGTTCCATGTAAAAATGCATGTTTACTTAGGGCCGGTTGCTCAAAGCCTGGTTGACACTAATCCCCGGTTAAACATCGTTATCGACGTTACCGACACCATGTTATTTGCATGGAGCCGAAAACGTCGATAACGATGTTAATCGGTGTTTAGTGTCAATCAGGCTTTGAGCAACCGGCCCTTAATGCACTTACGTGTACATAAGTTCCTATATATTAATTAAAAGTACACAAATTTGTTATAAACATTACTTGGATTTGCTTTTATTAATAGTAGGTTCATTTAATATTTTATATCTTAACGATTTTAAGAAAATGTTATACATATTTGTTTTTTAGTCTTAGGAACTAACTGCTTAAAATGGAGGTTCTATGTGCGACCTTACAATATTTGTAAATTTGCAATACAATATTTGCCCTACAAATGTTCAAAGTGATTACTAATTAATTGTCTTCTAATATTGCTCGTACTATTTTGGTTAATTGAAATGGATGGCATATTTAAAACTTCATTTATGTGAGCGCGAACTTCTTCTGAAATAGCTGGCACATCAATTTCGTTATGTAGATTACAAATATTGTGGAGAACCGCTGTTATCACAATAATGCTTTCTACACGCTGGGTATTCAGTCTTACACCCACCGAAAGAACCGGAAATCTTCGTTTCCACACGCCGTAGGATCGTTCGACGCAGTTCCTCGTTCGAATCTGAGATTCGTTATAAAGCGCTTCTGCCGGACTACGAACATTGGATATCTGTGTCATTATCCACTGATTACAGGGATAACCGCTGTCTGCAACAACCAATGAATATCCGAATTCGGCCCCTTCGAAGCGACTATAAACGCGCGAGTTTCGAAGTATTGTGGCATCATGTCAGGATCCAGGCCATCTAGCTACTATATCCAATATATTTAAGTCGCTGTCGCATAAAGTCTGTACGTTGTACGAAAAGAACCCTTTTCTGTTTCGGTATAACTCCGCATCATGACCTCCTATAAAAAGTACATGTATACATAAGCATAAGTACAGGGTACAGTTTAGTTATGTGTACAACGATTTCGGGTTTCTGTACCCAAACTCGTGACCCAAATCAAGAAACTTTTACTCACGCTTCTAGACAAGAGTCTACAGTTTATTAAAAAAANTTCGGCCCCTTCGAAGCGACTATAAACGCGCGAGTTTCGAAGTATTGTGGCATCATGTCAGGATCCAGGCCATCTAGCTACTATATCCAATATATTTAAGTCGCTGTCGCATAAAGTCTGTACGTTGTACGAAAAGAACCCTTTTCTGTTTCGGTATAACTCCGCATCATGACCTCCTATAAAAAGTACATGTATACATAAGCATAAGTACAGGGTACAGTTTAGTTATGTGTACAACGATTTCGGGTTTCTGTACACAAACTCGTGACCCAAATCCAAAAACTTTTACACACGCTTCTAGACAAGAGTCTACAGTTTATTTAAAAAAAAAATCACTATATCTGTGCACAAATTTATCAATAATTTCGGTTTGAAATATGGTATTTTTTGCAAATTTCCGAGCTGAGCTGTTAAACAGAATACGCGAAATACGTCTGCAAAAGGTGGTCAACCCCTATTCTTTGGCAACACAGAAAGAAGAATTCTACTTTGTTAGGGTTATAATTCCTTAGCGCGCCCGAAGGTTTTCCTTTGCAAAAAATTCAAATTTCACCTATCTACAAACAGCTCCCAAGGGCCCACATACCCCTGTGAGGGGGAGAGGGTTACTTTTCATAAAGTGCGGTCATCCTCTTTCTCTTATGGGAGGTTTGGGGGGGTGGGGCACGCTCCACCCCCTCCGCCTTCACCCCACAATCGTTGTACAAATAGCTAAACATTTCCCTAAGTACAGAACTTTGCTATTTACAAAGCAATTCAAAACTATTTAATTTTTGTTGAATAATTTTTGTTGAATTAGTTTTCAATTTCTGACACTGACCTGGTGATATTATTTTTACTAGTGTTCGCCCAGCGGTTGAAATTCAACCGCTAAAATTAAGGATAGTTTATGTGAGTTGAGTTGAGCTGAAATAAAATTTGTTGGAATGGGTTAAGTGGAGGGGAGTTTAGCTTAGTACTTAGCATAACATAACATAGAATAGCATTAGATTCAATAACATAACATATGTAGCATAACACATCACAATATAACATCGCACATTCTTCAGTTGTATTTCCTTTTTATCCCTATCACTTTCTTCCTCTCTATCT